CAACGGGCTGGGGTCCAGTGAGGAGCACATCCAGCTGCTGGTGGGTGAGTGTCAGGCCCTGCTCTCTGTCCCAGAGCCCCCCCAGCAGTGTCAGCCCCCCCTGGTCCAGGCGCACCTGTGCCGTGCTGCCCTGGGGGGGGGCTGAGCTCGGTGTCTTTCCCTCCCTTCCTGCTCTTCCAGATGGTTCCATCAGGAAAGGTCAGTCTGCTGCTGGTGTCCATCAGGACATGAGTTATGCTCACCTCTAGGCTGGGGAGGGAGCTTGGGCTGCTGGCTCTGCACTGCTTCTCTTGCTGCTTCTCTCCCTGCCGAGCCAGGCAGGAGGCTGAGGCTCTGGCTCTTTGTCCTCAGCAAGGCCACCAAGTGCAGCTTCTTGCAGCCCAAACCTGCTGGGCAAGGAAGCAGAGTGGATTGGCCTGATGCCTTGCAGGAATTCCTGTTATCCACCCTCCTGTGGCACATGGGGCATGCGAGCCCAGAGCAGAATTTCTGCATTCCTACAGAAACTGCCGCAGCAGAGCATTTCTGTACTGAAATCTGCATCCTGCAGGCAGCTGGGGAAGCGCTGGAGCTTCTTTGGGAGAAGGAGCCTTTTCCTAACACACAAGGGAACCTGGAGGGTGTCATGGTGGAACAGGCATTAATTTCTTCCTCTCCCTGTCGTGTTTAGATCAAAAGTCAACAGCAGAGAGCCAAGGGGTGATCATCGTGGCCATCATCGTGGCCATCCTCGTGGTGGCTGTGCTGGGCGCTGTCATCTACTTTCTGCACAAGAAAGGCAAGATCCCGTGTGGCCGTGCCGGGAAGCAGGACATGTAAGCACTGCCACCTGTCCCCAGGGGCCTGTGGGGCTGGGGGTGCCTGATATCACTCATGCTTCCCATCCCATCTCACCGCTCCAGCTCTCCCTGCCCGGGCGGGAGCGCGGCCTCGGGGGCTCTGCAGCTTTTCCAGCTTCCCACAGGGAGGAGACAGCAGAGTGGTAGAGCAGCCAAGGGCCCCCTTTGGGGCAGCCCAAAGNCAGACCCCTCCGAGAACCTGAATCTGAAGGTGATGCCGTCCTCGACGCTGGTGAAGGAAGGGGACAATGTGACGCTGGTCTGCGAGGCTGATGGGAACCCACCACCTGTCTTCAGCTTCTTTAAGAAAAATGTGAGGCTGGAGGGCACCAGGGCACCAAACATCTCCTGGTTGCTCCTTGTGCCCTGCCCAGAGGGTCCTGGGCAGGGGATGCAGTGGTTGGGAGGGGGCCTGTGTGGGGTTAAGGACTCTGCTGTTACCGTGTTCACAGTGGTCTGAGGATGAGGGGAGAAATGAGGATCTGACTCCATGTTTCAGAAGGCTGATTTATTATTTCATGATATATATTATATTAAAACTATACCGAAAGAATAGAAGATTTCATCAGAAGGCTGGCTAAGAGTAGAAAAAGAAAAAATGATAACAAAAGCTTGTGTCTCGGACAGAGTCTGAGCCTGCTGATTGTGATTGGCCATTAATTAGAAACAACCACATGAGACCAATCCCAGATGCACCTGTTGCATTCCACAGCAGCAGATAACCATTGTTTCCATTTTGTTCCTGAGGCCTCTTAGCTTCTCAGGAGGAAAACTCCTAAAGAAAAGATTTTTCATAAAAGATATCTCACTCTGCTTTGTGCCCGCTGTCTGCAGCTGGATGTGTGGCAGGATGTGACCTCGCTGGCAGAGCCCGACAGCGGCGTCCTGAGGCTGCACGACGTGAACAAAACCAGCAATGGCACGTACAGGTGCCAGTCCCTGGACCTGGATGACATGTCACAGATAGAGGAGGACGTGGATCTCGTTGTGAACTGTAAGAGAGAGGGGAATGGACCCTGTGGACCTCATGGTGGGTGCTCTGTCCCTCCTGCTCACCCTGCCCTGCTCTCCATCTCTCTCCCAGACATTGAAGGGGTCCATGTGAAGATGGAGCCATCCTCCGCCCTTCGTGAAGGGGACAGTGTGATGCTGAGCTGTGATGCCTACAGCCCCGTGGGCCTGAAATACCAGTGGAGGGATGACAAGGTGAGTAAACATCCCAGTCCTGTCGTGCTCAGGCTCAGCCTGGGCTTTGCAGCAAATCAGGCAGAGTCGGGATCTTGCTCTGTCTCTCCTGAGAGGCCAGGGGGAGGATTCCCTCTTTCATGGACCTGCATTGTCCACTCAATATTGTCACCTCCTGGCCAGAACGGCAGGGAGCTCCTGTGCTTGCAGGCTGTGCTTTGGGACATGGGCACAGAGGGTCATTGCTGGGGACATTCCTTCCCAACAGGGCAAGAAGCTGGTGGAAGGGAACCAGCTCCTGGTGAAGAACGTCACCTTTGAAAAGTCCAACACCTTCAGCTGCAAGGTGATGGCCCCGAGCGTGCCTGGGCTGGAGCAGAGCAAAAAGGTGTCCGTGGCTGTCGAGGGTAAGATGTGGCCTGGGTGCAGAGTG